TTTTTTCTCTCTCTCTCTCTTCCTTTTTTTCCCCCAACCGCCACCGCTCTCTAATTTCGTTGCGCCGTCGCAGCCGTCGATATGCAGTAGCAGTTACGCGTAAATAAATAACGGACGTCGTTGTAAGCGACGGAATATCGCAATGGTCTATCGATCATCGCACTGCTTAATTATAGGAGGCGAGTGGGATTCAATCGTGTCGATGGTTCCTGATTAATTCAGTTACCGACCGCAAATATTTAGGCCAGCTTTGTTCTGTATTGAAAGGTCGCGAGTTTGTGTAACAAACTGTCGCGAATTCACGTCGTGAGACATTCGTCCCCATTACGCGTTTTATTTATATATTGTTGTATTTAAAGACAAAGCGCCCTGTTTGCGTATAAAGAGAAAGAAGTGAACCTTTACTTAAAGGGAAGTCTCACGTGAGGAAAAAATCCAAGATATCAAGCGTGGTAGGATATTGATGAAATAATAATGATACGTGGCGATTAACTTATATTATAAAATTATATCGGATTTATATTTAAATATAAATCGGAAAAATATGCGATTATGTTTTATATAACATACAGAATATTTGTGAAAACTAGCATGAATGCAATAATTTTCGCGGAAATAAAAATTCAGATATTTCAGGTAGATATGAAAATGAGAAATTTTCAAATAATTTTAAACTATATGTTTCAACAAACGTCTTTTTCATATCAAATAGTTTGTTTATAAAAGTCCGAAATAATACAAGTGCAATTATAGGAGAATTGATTTACGGCAAAGAAGCACAATTTATTTGAAAAAGAATTAATTTGCAACAAAAACATAATGATGTCGTGATGAAGTCGAAAAACAATTTGAGTAACTGCAAATGTTCTCCCATTGACAAATAAATTTAACCATGGTCAACCACGGGTATATCTAAAATGATTGACGGATGCGGATCGCCAAATGCATCTGTCAAATCTGATTAAATTAATTAATTAGAATCGTTGTCATGGAACGAGATGACGTGCAGAAGTGCGAGGTAAACCGCTATGCAATCAAATGAAAAGTAAACACTATATACAGGGTGTTCGAATGAGATCAGCATAATCGAGTATCAGCACGCGACGCGAAATGACGGTGCATGATAATGTAACATTTCGTAAATGTAATTATATTGTAATAATTTCAAATCCGAGACAATCCTTCATTATTACATATAATCCATTGTTAATCCACAATGCATACTGATAGATAAACGTATATTACGTATTAATTAACGCATAATACGCACAAGAATTTAGACGTATATCACTTTATACATCGAGTTAATATGCAACAGTGGAATCTATAGAATATGTTATTGAAATATCTATTTGCAAATCAAATAACGTTTATTGAAATTGGAAAGAACATTATGCTAGATTTATTGATCAAATTTGCTAGACAAAAGTTTTGTAGGATAAATAAAGGATAAAAAATAAAATATATTTAGTAAGACGTCTTAGATAGACATGCTAAATACAACACTCAACACCAGTTGTCAATGAAATTGTCAATAATTTATTTCTTCATGAAAAAAACAATACGGATAATTGATTCGAGCTAGATAAAGTAGTCTTTTAAACTATTTTCAAAATAAATACATTTATAGATGAATGTACTAAGAGATACGTAATACTTTACTATGAATTGTTTAAGAACAATTATTCTGATGTCTATGACCTCTTTTCTAGATAATGATATGAGACATAATGCTCCGATGTGCACGTGTGATAACCATAAATAAATGAATATTTTATGCCGTAATCGCGAACGCGTGCGTCCTTTGATCATTGGCTCGACCTGTGCAGGGCACAACTTTGTAGTAAATCGACTAAATGCGCTTGCTAACATATTCAGAGAAAATTAATTAATTTTCATCATAACTATTAATGTAGCCCGTGCTAAATAGAATTGAAAATAGAATTTCCATAAATACATATTTACTGTAAAAGACAAATAATACTAAAAATTTTAAATATATTTTAACAATTATTTTACAAGTTATTTCGTGAATGTTTGAACTCGATATCGTAGTCATCTTAATCTTTCTTAATCTTTCTTATAATTAAAAATAATCTCTTTTACGAAAAGAGGTTGTAACTTGTACTTTAAACATTCAAAACAATTTAATTCATAACTCATTCTTCTAATTGTTGAAATTAATTGTGTCATACAAGTAAGAATAACATTCTTCGGGAAATAATGTACGAGTATTAAAATATTAAAAAAAAAAAAAAAGAAGAAAGTACTTTACGTTTTGTATTTACAATTACTAACTATAGTTAATCGTTTAACTTATTATTCAATCAATTTATCGTTCAATTTGTGAAAATTATTTTTATCTATTTTCGCGTGATCATATCACGAGAATACCATTGTTTAGAGTAACGGCATTACGTAAACCCGTTGCGAGAACGAAAAAGTTTTGCTCGTGTTTTGAAGTAACGGTAAAACCACGAAGTAAAACCACAAAGAAAGCTGGCTGACGGCAGTAAGGTTGCACCGACTACGAGCGAGCGTTGCAACGACAGCGACAACGACGCGAATCGATCGTGTACGTGTAAGGGAGGTTTTTTGTGACTCACATGGGAAGCTGACTGGGGGATGAGACTGAGCATTGTGCGCGTTATGGGGGTGCCTCGGGGTAGGAACACGCTGCCTGCAAAAGCAGAGAACCGCCGCCGTTACCAGGCCGCCCATACTGAGTATTCAGAAAAACAAGGGCGATAGCGAACCAAGTAGTCTGCATGCCTAGGATCGTCGATGCCTCGGAATCTGAAATTACAATGAAAAAGCATTGATCAAAAAAGTTTTATCGTAAAAACATAGATATGCTCCAGATTAATTGAAGTACATTAAAAATAACGCACGTGCGTAGCATCAAAAAACGGCGAAAAACGGCGAAAACTTCGAAAACTAATTAATTAATAGATAAAAGTTATGATTTTAAAGAATATAGAAAAACAGAATATATGCATAAAAAAATATCGTGAACTACCTCAAAAACCACACAAAATGTAATAAAATCATTTTATAATTTCAATTAACTTTATCAAATGAAATAGCACAGTTGTTATTTTTGTCAATTTTTATTACAATAATAGCGAGATATAGATTTTTCAATAATAAAAAGTGTTTCATGTAAAAATAGTAAAATAAAAGAAGAGATAGAACGAGCTTTTCATTCAAGCTCAAACTTGACGATTAAGTTTTTGTTTTTGTCGAAGATTTAACTTGACATGCGTGTACTTTTGTTGAATCAAGAAATCGATATAGCAATATATATTTCACATTTTATCGTTATAATGCATGACGTTTATAAATAACGTGAATAATAAAAAATGCCGACGTTAATTTTTTGATAAAATCAATCGTAAACAATAATGGTTGTTTGTAATGTACAATGCAAAACAATAAACAAATTGTTCATCTAAATTACAAAGTTTATGAAAATTTTCAGAGTTGTTACAAAAATATATAACAAATTTATTATATCACGTTGCTGAATAATTTGCACTTAAAAGTTATTCGAAGATATTTATTTTTATACATAATAATACAACTTGCATGATCACAAAATGGGGCAAATTAACTGTTTGCTAATTAAAGCCGAAATTTACAACAAGAATATAGCGAATTAACAAAATATCAATAGAACATGCTAAATTCCTCCGAGCACGAGCATTATGCGACAAGTTTGTAATTTACTCCGTCGCTATTGCGAGCTACTCTTGGATATGTAATGAATACACAGCAATTAACCTCTTCAGATGTCGACGCACGCGTACTTTCAACCATTAACATAAATGTTATGTAAATTTGGTTCGCGCGTATTTGCAATTATTTCTCTCACAAAATAGTAACAATTCCCACGAGCATACGAAGATGAGAAAAGCCATATTTTATCGTTATAAAACATTCGATAAAATGTCAAGTGTACAGCAATTATTAATTAATTATTTATGGAGTGAAAAAATAGAAATTTTTAATTTGTTTATATTTAAAGAAATTAAATGGAGGCTTCCGCAAATTACGCGAAATTTGACCATTAAAATTATTGCTGACATATACATACACTTGTTTTGTAGAATCCTTATATTTCTGCAAATATGATTTACAAATTGTATAAATTTATTTCACTTTAGCTATTTTATTTTAAATTAAATCATTTTAAATTAAAGTTATTTAGGATAATAACTTTTAATGATAAAATGTTTTTGAAATTTAATTGTTTTTTGTTTTTATTATCTTTTTGATACTTGACTAACGCATGTCTAACTGTACTAAATCATGCGAGATTATATCTTAACGATCTAAATCGCTTTGCTCATTAAATGTGTTTCAAAAGATATGTACATAGTTGCTTGATATACGATATGGCTTGATGGCGAACATATTGATTTCATGTTAACTAGCACATTATTACCATCCATAGTGCTAATTACTAGCATCTAGAATAATAATGCGAAATGCAACGTCATCAACTGTTCTGGTGAGATCACAAAATATGAAACATCTTTCTAATATCTCGATTCTAATACTTTATTAAATTAACGTTCGAGACTCGAATATAAATTATCGCTTTAAAAATTTTTAATGGCTAAAGAGCCAAATTTCAAAGAGATAATAAAAAAAATAATAATTTAAATATACGTACTGGCACAGAGGGTGGAAGTGGCCTCGTCAGATCCGTCGCCGCAGTGATTCACGCCGTCACAAAGGAGATCCGTTTCGATGCAGAATTCGTTCTGCGTGCATCGAAAGTCTTTGCAGGTGTGTTCTGAAAAATAACAGAATATTTGTTAACGCGCAAAGAAGGTTTAACTTTAATTAAGTTTTTGAGAAAGTAAACATTTTTCTCATACATTGCATTTGTTTTATCATATCTCTTTTGACAATATGTTACATTATATTCTATTTGTGCACCTTTTCATCCATGCTTTTATCTAATAAATATACGATGTACGATGAGAGTTTAATTACCGCAACCGTATTAAGCTTATCTCTACAGTCATGATATATTTTCTTTATCCATTTTTTACACGCGAATGACCTCATCGAAGGATTGAGAGTACACCTCTCGAGTTTGAGCGAGCTTTCTCCTGTGGACAGCGAAGCTTTAATAACAGGCTATTTTGAAGAATACACAAAAGATCCTTTCGCGTATAGTTTTTCACATAATTTTTCGCGAGGCAGATATATTCGCAGCATTACACACACAATTACTTTAAAAAAATGGCGAATTTTTTTCGCCAACGGAAAATTTCAAAGAAGAGAAATGATTAGAAAGAAATAAAGTAATATACATGACACGATTCAGTTATTAATTAATTAATAACTGAATTAGTTTTTTCACAAATAAAAATTTCAAGAAGAGAAAAATTAATTTTAAATTACTTTTCTTTTTAAATCCAATTTTTATTTTATTGGAGAGAGAAAATACATTATATAAAATATTAAAATTTAGAGAGGACATTTAAACACCGTTACACGGTCAAACTGTTGTATAGCACAACAAATCTAGATTGCTTTGACTTGTAGATATGTTATCGATAGCTTAATGAATGAATGTCCGGGCATGTTCAATGGCGCTCGTAAAGAATAAATTTAATGAGATGTCTGATGAGATTGCAAAGTGATACGATTAATTAGCTCGCGTGCAATTTGAATATCGGTCATCTGCCGGGTTACAGTTCATCGCAGTATTTAATATGAAATTATTGGCGATCGACCAGCGGATGGACCCAAGTTCACTCATCGCTTTGCAGGGAAATTAGCCTCGGTCAGGTGTGAGTATAAAAGCAACTGTCCGATTTAATTATAACGACGAGCTCGGCAAGCGAAGACGCACTCGATATAAAGGCATTCGCGCGCGCGAATTCAATTACGAGGATCACTCGAAACTTGAGTTCAGCATTAAGTTAATAGCTTCGATAAGTTTACTCTTTTCCTAATGAAATCTTACGTTTCAATAAACGTTCTGTACCAACGAGGACGTACACTGCAAACTGCAAATTAAATTGTTTGGTATCAAAATTTGATCTGACAAAAGAATGGCGAAACTCACCGTTTGATATCTGCTTCGTCAACTATTTGTATGACGAAGATAATCTATTATTTCTTATAAACCGTGTTCTTGCATTTCTGTATAAATTTAGCCTCATTATTATTAATATTATCATAACATAATTACCATATTAGTATATCAATTACAATATTATCCAATTAATGCATGATATGCATTTTGTTTTAACTTTATGATAACACACAGGATTAATGATTAAACGTGAAACTTTGTCGTGTTTTATAATAACGGTAATAAACGGTATCTCAAATATTTGGTATTTACTCTTTGAAACAATGTTCAATCGCGTGGAAAGAGCATTTCTGACGCATTCTTGGACATCGAACCGTCGCAATTCTTGGAGCATCCGATCTAATTACGGTCCGACCCGTGGAATGCGAGTAATAACGAGCGATAAGTTTCACCGATCGTGAAAAAGCTCATGTTGGGCAGTGAAGACAGCGATTTTCCGCGTTTCTCCCTCTGGCAATTATAACTCTTCGAGCTCTTCTGCAATCGCAGAGAAGGTAATAAAAGGATCGACGACGATTTGAAAGGATAGGGCGTGCGGCAAAAAAAGCACATAGACGGCCATACGTAATTTTATGTAATTTAACAGTTGAGATTCCTCCCTTTCTACCGAAACTTTCATGATTTGCTACCATTTGCGAAGTTTTTTGTTGGAATTCTGGCAAAAAGAAGTCCGAGAATAACATTCAGCAGCGGTTCAACGGAAAGCGTTCTACTCCACGATAAGCTACATGCAGAATTTCCATACACACATTTATAAGTGAAATAATCCCGCTTTTCATGACTCCGAGAAAACCTTTTAATTATGATTATTGTAAATGACTAGTGTGACGATTACTTTTGCGTGAGGGAACAGCGGGAGGGCTGACAAGAAACTGTACTGCACGTGTGGACACCCGCGACAGAGTCAATGTTTAACCTCTCGGATTGGCCAATCATTTAACGTTGGACGGTAGGCACACCGTACACATGCTCAAATATGCTCAATATGCCGACGAAATTAACAGTCGTGGCTGAGCAAACGGATGCGCAGTCACGCCGCACCGCTGATGTGCAGTAATACCAAGTGTTATGCACATTGACACGCGCGTGTATTCGCATTTGCACAAGCTTATAGGCTCGGCAGATTCGCACGTGTACATACTGAGAATAGGGACGAAATGGTAGTACTGCGAAATTCGCTCAGTCCCAGTGGAAAATTAGAGCGGGGAAATTTTTATTGTGGAATTTTTATTGGTCACGGCAAATAATCTCAAGTGCCTTCCTAAAACTTGACAAGTAATTGGCAATCTCTTGTATAGTTACATAGGTGTATTTAAATATTGACGTACATCCTGTTTAAACTCACAATCTGAGATAATATCTGAAATAATAATCTTTTCTTTTAAATTCTCTTTATTTTTTATTATTTTAAAATTTTTCTATTCGAAGATGATTCTGTACTAAAAATTTTAGAAATTTTAAAATGTTGCAACTATGGTGGTCACACGTATTTCTACATCTAAAAGTACATTTAAAAATGTATAGGACGTGAATATGTTCGAAATAGTGTAGAAATAAAAATATCGAATTAATTATGTTTTATTATTAAATACACACAAAGAGATAAAATATCAAAGGTAATTTCTGTGACTGGACAGTTAAAACTAAAGCGAAATTCACCTCTCGCCTACAGAGAGGACCTCATTAAATTCTATCATGAAACATAACACTTGCGCGCGAAAGCTCATGGCACGTCAACGAAAAAAAATTTCTATAGTCTTTTGAGGGATATGCAATTTTCTACATTTTGTGACACACATTTGCGATTTTGTTCAATTATAAAAGATGTAAACTTGGATTTTATTATAAATATGATGTTTTACAACATTTAAAAAATATAATTTAGTTAAACTCAAATGAGCAAATAATTTCATAGAACAAGTTATTTTGTATATTATTGCGATACTTTTGATAATACGATTAAGTGATGCTTATAAAAATATTAAATGTGAATTTTTTATTTTTCCTTAAAATTTTTTTATTTTAATTATTAAAATTTGTAATTGTTCTTTCGATTAATGACTTATATGACGATTTGAAACAATTTTATAAAAGCAAGTTTTCTTGTAATTTATTTATTGAAAATATCAGCAGAATAGAGAATGCGAATTTTAAATTATCGTACTGTCGTAAAATTTGAATAACAATTATTTTATTAATAATTTTTGAATTTTATTAAATATTTATAAAAAAAGGTCTTTAAATTTTTAAATAGTAGAGGACTTTTATATTTAAT